ATCTCACAGTATCTCACAGTATCTCACAGTATCTCACAGTATCTCACAGTATCACAGTATCTCACAGTATCTCACAGTATCTCACAGTATCTCACAGTATCTCACAGTATCACAGTATCTCACAGTATCTCACAGTATCTCACAGTATCACAGTATCTCACAGTATCTCACAGTATCTCACAGATCTCACAGTATCACAGAACTCACAGATCTCACAGTATCTCCACATAACTCAAAAATCACATATCTCACAGTACTCACAATCTCACAGTATCCACATATCACAGTAAACTCACAATATCTCACAGTATCCAGTAACACAGAATCTCACATACTCCAGTATCCATATCACATACTCACGTATCACAGTACTCACAGTATCTCACAGTATCCACATTCACAGTATCTCACTACCACAGTATCCCGTATCTCACAGTAATCACAGTACTCACAGTACTCACATACACATACTCACATGTCTCACAGTAACTCACAGTAATCACAGACTCACAGTATCTCCCACAATCACAGTATCTCACAGTATCTCACAGTATCTCACAGTTTCACAGTATCTCACAGTATCTCACAATATCTCACAGTATCTCACAGTATCTCAGTATATCACAGTATATCACAGTATCTCACAGTATATCAAAGTATATCACAGTATCTCACAGTGTATCACAGTATCTTACAGTATCTCACAGTATATCACAGTATCTCACAGTATCTCACTGCATATCACAGTATCTCACCGTATATCACAGTATCTCCCCGTATATCACAGTATCTCACAGTATATCACAGTATCTCACAGTGTCTCACAGTATTTCACAGTATCACAGTATCTCACGGTATATCACAGAATATCACAGCATATCACAGTATCTCAGAGTATCTCACGGTATATCACAGTATATCACAGTATCTCACAGTGTATCACAGTATCTCACCGTATATCACAGTATCTCACAGTATATCACAGTATCTCACAGTATCTCACAGTGTATCACAGTATCTCACCGTACATCGCAGTATCTCACAGTATATCACAGTATCTCACAGTATATCACAGTATATCATAGTATCTCACCGTATATCACAGTATCTCACAGTATATCACAGTATCTCACCGTATATCACAGTATCTCACCGTATATCACAGTATCTCACAGTATATCACAGTATCTCACCGTATATCACAGTATCTCACAGTATATCACAGTATCTCACAGTATATCACAGTATATCACAGTATCTCACCGTATATCACAGTATATCACAGTATATCACAGTATATCACAGTATCTCACAGTATATCACAGTATGTCACAGTGTCTCACAGTATATCACAGTATATCACAGTATATCACAGTATATCACAGTATCTCACAGTATTTCACAGTATCACAGTATCTCACGGTATATCACAGAATATCACAGTATATCACAGTAACTCAGAGTATCTCACGGTATATCACAGTATATCACAGTATCTCACCGTATATCACAGTATCTCACCGTATATCACAGTATCTCACAGTATATCACAGTATCTCACAGTATCTCACAGTGTATCACAGTATCTCACCGTATATCACAGTATCTCACAGTATATCACAGTATCTCACAGTATATCACAGTATTCAATATCCTCACCGTATATCACAGTATCTCACATATACACAGTATCTCACGATATCACAGTAAACTCACCGCATATCACAGTATCTCACAGTATATCACAGTATCTCCCACCGTATATCACATACTCACAGTATATCACAACCCCAGTATCTCACAGTATATCACGTAATCACAGTAACTCCAAACCCTATATCACAGTATCTCCCCAGTATATCACAGTATATCACAGTATCTCACCGTATATCACAGTATATCACAGTATCTCACCGTATATCACAGTATATCACAGTATATCACAGTATATCACATATCTCACAGTATACACAGTAAAATCACAGTATATCACAGTATCTCACCGTATATCACAGTATCTCACCGTATATCACAGTATCTCACCGTATATCACAGTATATCACAGTATCTCACCGTATATCACAGTATCTCACCGTATATCACAGTATATCACAGTATCTCACCGTATATCACAGTATCTCACCGTATATCACAGTATATCACAGTATATCAGTGTATATAACGCAAGTTCAAATAAACATCCCCATAATATGATGTATGCACAATACGGTATACACAAAAATTATAGTGTATACAATTATATCTCCTACCCGAATGTGGGGTCATAAGCGAAAGGATGCTCCGCTTGAAACCTCCGAGGCAGTGAACCCGTGAAGTCACTTAGCATGTAGTTAAGAAGCCGTGCCAAGAGATGAGGTTCAATCCCCATTTGTTACAGTTAAGTAAGAACAATTTTAATTTTTATTGGCAACGGTGAAAGATTTTATTTACTGAGTATATCTTTGTTGGAAGAAGAATAGAGTGTTTTAAGGATCAACAATTTGTCTTTGTTTTAAGAAGGTGATAACTATATTGTGATAAATGAGATAATAAGATAAAATAAAGGAATCCCTTCAGAACAAACAGTAAATAAGATACTGAAAGACTATTTAAATCAGCTGGGTGGTTGTGTGGGTAACAACCAGGTGGTTGCTGGGTGGTTGTGTGGGTAACAACCAGGTGGTTGCTGGGTGGTTGTGTGGGTAACAACCAGGTGGTTGCTGGGTGGTTGTGTGGGTAGCAACCAGGTTGGGTTTCGGGTGGTGTGTGGGTAACAACCAGGTGGTTGCTGGTGGGTTGTGTGTGGGGAGCAACCAGTGGTTTCTGGTTTTTGTGTGGGTAGCAACAGGCCAGAGATTATAAGTAATAGAAGCAAAATATACATAAACGCGGGGCACCACCAGCGTAACACACACACCACACACACCACACACACACACACACACACACACACACACAGGACCCAGGAAAATAGAGATTAGTCGAAGAGCCAGAAACGAGAATGCACAGATAAGGAGGGAGGCCCAGCAACCGTAGAAAGCGACATTGCATCGAAGCCAAGTCAGACCCGAAGCTGTTGTATAGTCACATCAGGAGGAAGACAACAGTCAAAGACCAGGTAATCAGGCTGAAGAAGGAAGTTGGGGAGCTCACAAGATACGATCAAGAAGTATTATGGGAAGGCAATATGAGATTTAAGGAAGTATTTACAGTGAAGACAGAAAGGACTCCGGGAAGTCAAAATATCGGGATACACCAACAAGGAATATACCAACAAGTGCTGGATGTAATACACACAACCGAGGAGGAAGTGAAGAAGCTGCTAAGTGACCTTGATACCTCAAAGGCAGTAGGATCGGACAACATCTCTCCGTGAGTCCTCAGAGAAAGAGAAGAGACGCTATGTGCCACTAACAACAATTTTCAACACATCCATTGAAACTGAGCAACTACCTGAGTATATGAAAATGGCAAATGCAGTCCCCGTTTTTAAGAATTGAGACATACACGAGGCAATAAACTACAGACCAGTGTCACTGACATGTATAGTATGCAAAGTCATGGAGAAGATTATCAGGAGGAGAGTGGTGGAGCACCTGGAACGGAACAAGCTTATAAACGACAACCAACACAGATTCAGGGAAGAAAAATCCTGTATCACGAACCTACTGGAGTTTTATGACAAGGTAACGGAAGTAAGACACGAGAGAGACAGGGTAGGGAAATAGATTGCATTTTCATGGGCTGCAAGAAGACCTTCGACACAGTTCTTCACAAGAGGTTAATGCAAAAGCTAGAGGATCAGGCACACATAACAGGAAGGGCACTGCAATGGATCAGAGAATAGACCGGGAGGCAACAACGAGTCATGGTGCGTGACGAGGTGTCAGAGTGGGCGCCTGTGACGAGCGGGGTTCCACAGGGGTCAGTCCTAGAACCAGTGTGGGTTTTGGTTATGTGAATGACATGATGGAAGGGATAGACAGAAATGTCCCTGTTTGCAGATGATGTGAAGTTAATGAGGAGAATTAAATCGGATGAGGATGAGGCAGGACTACGAAGAGACCTGGTCCAGCAACTGGCTTCTTGAATTTAACCCCGCAAATGCAAAGTCACGAAGATCGGGGAAGGGCAAAGAAGACCGCAGACAGAGTACGGGCTAGGAGGCCAAAGACTCACTCATGGAAAAGAATCTTGGGGTGAGCATAATACCGAGCACATCTGAGGCGCACATCAACCAGATAACTGCTACAGCAGATAGGCGCCTGGCAAACCTGAGAATAGTGTTCCGATACCTCAGTAAGGAATCCTTCAAGACTCTGTACACCATGTACGTCAGGCCCATACTGGAGTATGCAGCACCAATTTGGAACCCACACCTGGTTAAGGACGTCTAGAAGTTAGTGCTAAGGTTTGCAGCAAGACTAGTTCCAGAGCTCAGGGAAATGCCCTGCGAAGAAAAGTTAAGTGAAATCGGCCTGACGACACTGGAGGACAGGAGGGTTAGGGGATACATGATAACGACATACACAGTACTGCGCAGAATAGACAAGGTGGGCAGAGACAGGATGTTCCAGAGATGGGACACAGCAACAAAGAGTCACAATTGGAAGTTGAAGATTCAGATGAGTCAAAGAGATGTTAGGAAGTATTTCTTTAGTCTTAGAGTTGTCAGGAATTGGAATAGTCTGGCAAGTGACGTAGTGGAGGCAGGAACCATACATAGTTTTAAGACTAGGTATGATAAAACTCATGGAGCAGAGAGAGAAAGGACCCAGTAGTGATCAGTGAATCAAAGATTTGTTAAATTATACCATGAATTAAGGAAATATCCTAGATTTCACCTTACAAAAGCAGACAAAGTAAATACGATAGCAATTATGAACAAGGTAGATTATAGGGAAAAAATGAACATGCTATTATAAATTCTTAAATTAAATTTGTGTGTGAGATGTATTGACAAGTACAGCAAGTTCTGACTTTTTCTTTTTCTTCGGCAGGAACAAGTAAAAGAGGCCCTAGCGACTGGCTGCTGTGAGTGCCTAGTGAACAGCAGTAGCAACAGCAGCAGCAGACAGCACAGCACAACACACTTACCCCGCGTCACACACCCCGCCAGCCACCATAACAGACGAGAACCAGCCCCCACAGCCACCCTCCGTCATGGAAGGTGAAGAGAAGAACAAGAACAAGTCTGCTGGAGGTGGTGGAGGCGGGGGAGAGGGAGGAGGAGGAGGAGGAGGAGGCGTGGGCACGGAGATGACCCAATATGGTCTCAACGGTACCTCCCCGCAGACGCCCAACGATGCCAACCTGGTCACCTTCGAGGACGAGATGGCTCTCCGTGGTGCCTGGAGCAGTCACCTCGACTTTATCCTCTCGCTCGTCGGCAACGCTATCGGTATTGGCAACGTGTGGCGCTTCCCTTACCTCTGTTACAAGAACGGTGGTGGTGAGTACACTGATAGTGTTTGTTATTGTTTGTACTTACCTGTTCATTATTTCAGGAAGGTTTTCGTTGTTTCCCCGTCTTAAGCGTTTATTACAGGAGCTGAACTGTATTGGTAAAGATAATCTTCAGAGTTATGTAAATGATTTAGAGAACAAACAAGTTGAAGAATGAGACGCATGTCCAATATTTGGGAATCTTGACTGAGGAAATGTTGGACAAGTGTCTCATTCTACAGTCTTCAGTGTTTGTAGTTACAGAAGACAATTCTTTTAGTCACGGTTATCATTCTGTGTGAAGTCTGTTTTAATTTAACCACAGTTATCATAGAGCATTTATGTACATTAAATTCCATCATACTTGTCTCACTCCACTTGCTCAGTCTATTCAGGTCTTCCTGCAGGAATAAACAGTCATTCTTGCTACTTATTTTGCACAAAATTTTTGTAGTTTGTACTTTAGAGAATAGGTAAAAGGACACAAATGCAACTGATGCAATAATAAAATGTTACATTAGTTGCACATGTGTCCTCTTACCTAACAAAATGTCGGTAATCCTACCAAAATTATTACAGTTTAGAAATTAGAGTTTGGTGAAGAACTTAGTCAGGATGATAATAATTCATTCATTATTTTAGTTTTTGACTGATTTGTTTAACTTTGCCATACTGATTTCATATACAGAAATTTACTGCTCAAAAATCTGCTTGCTGGTTAACATTTCTTCACTTTTTATGTGTTGCACTGGTCGCCGTTGCCCAGCGGTGAGAGTGGCCCCTCTTATTGCTGAGGTTCAGGTAATAAACCCTGGAGATTAACATAACTTTTTATGTGTTTTATTTACTTTTCTCTATCGATTTTTTCCCGTAAATTCACAAAAACACTTGTCAGCGAGACAGTTACCTACGAGTAGTGAAATCCTGAAGATTCTCGTCTTCACATTGTTTATGTAGTCTCACATTATAATGTGCTATGTTTCAACTGGTGGCATGCTTTGTGTTTTTAATGTCCGCATTATCCACGTTGTCCTGTGTCGTGAACACTGCAGCTTAACGTTCATGATCACACATTTCCTCTTCCGTCCCGCCCAATGTTACAAAAAACGCGATTTCTATAAAGCTTAGAGATCTCCAGTGAATACTAGAAAGGACTGCCCTTCCAGCATCCAGCCTGTTACTGGGTGTTTGTAACAAGTAGTCAGTATCCTGGTCCAATTATCCATTAGAATTCAATAAGAATTAATAGTGCTTCAGGATTAAAACTGGTAGGCTACTAACTAGAGAAATTAAAATTTAATAAATTTATTAATTTAGTTGTCTAGGCGTATATTAAATTAAATTAAATTAAATTAATCACAGTAATCAAAATAATATTAATCACTTCTCTCGTGTACAGTATTATTGTTCTGAAAGCACATATCTCATTTATAAGTCTAAAGTACCGTCTGGTACATTAACATTTAATAATACAATATACAAATAAGTTTGTGTGTATGTGTGTAAGTGCTCTAAGTAGTTCGCTATGTCTCACGACTCGACTAGACTTAAACAAGTGACTGACAAAGTCCTCAAATAAACTAACTTCTTGACCAACTGGCAATCAGAACAGTCTGCTTGAACAATAAAAAGAATACTAAGCCCAATAGCAATATAACAAGCAACTGCGACACAGAATCAGGAACAAGGAGATAATATAACACACTAAGTAGGGACCATCAGCAGATCCTCCACAAAAGTCACAAAACTCCCATACTACTGAATCTTAGTTCAGCGTATAAGAAAATCCCCGACTGTGATAATACACAGATACCAGTACAAATTAGGTCAGAAGCTACAGCTCAGGACCTGAGTTGCTCAGAGTGTCTAAGCGACACACAACCTCAGTACAACGTCGAAAATCACTAAGTCTAGACAATGTTCTGTGAACAGAGTCCCACAGAACCTACAACAATAATGAGACAGAGACGATCTTCCAACAAGAGCCAGTAAGGGGAAGTTAGGCACTTGTCAGGAATACATCCAACCGCCAAGCGAGTCTAGACCAGACTGAATACTTCAGGCGAGGTGAGGACACCCCCCCTCGATCACGTGATAGCTCTGTGGACAGTTGCTGCCCAGCAACACCGAAGCCGGCAGAGTAACGAGCCACGAGCGATAATTACAGTAGTTAGACAATCAAGACTTGAACTATGAGCACATAATATATGAAGGTTACATCCTACCTAACAACATAACTAAGTCATATAATAATATAAAGCAATATATTTACGATTTAGCTATTATCGGAAATATAAGCAACACAAAATTATATGAAAAGGTAATATACATTAATTACATTTACATAATATACATCATATACTACATTGTAACCCATTCAGGGGTTGTAACACCCAATCAGTGTTTTGTTGTGTCTATGTCCTTCGATATGGTCTTCGTGTTCAAGTTATATAGCCTAGCAAGATTAGTCAGTCGATCATGACTCACGAAATCGTAATAACCCGATTGTACACTAACCACGGTACGGGTGGAGCTTGAACTCGCTTGGAGTTTTACGATTCACTTGCCGCAAGCTCACGCCCCATCCGTACAGTGGTTTAGTCAGTCGATGCTATCACCACCCCACAGTGAACCCCGGTACCGAACATACAAAAGGAAAATAGGAAGAAGTAGAAAGAGAGCCTATATGTTGTAGTTGGGTTACATTCGTCGGGAAACTAGACAATTGTTTCCTAACTCGGGTCCTAGTCATATGATGACTCGCCACTGAAGCTTTTGGTCACATGTATTGTAAATGGTTTGGAAAACCGACAAGTTGAATAATAAGACACTTGTGCAACATCTGGGACTCATTTTGGTCAAATAACCGAGGCTTTTCGTCGACTACTATTGTGTCTCAAACTCCTGCTGCAGGACTTTATGTACATGGTCTCTTCCCTCTTCTATATTACTCATCACTATGGTTGGACGCAATATTCAAGCATCATCACAAGCACAAACACTTCCATTTGTCTCGAAAACTAGTGCTTAATGTGCGCGTCGGAGTCCGTTTATGAAGTAAAGAAAGACCAGGGTGACAAGTCCCAGACCAGGGTGACAAGTCCCAGACCAGGGTGACAAGTCCCAGACCAAGGTGACAAGTCCCAGACCATGGTCTTGGACCAGCTGCGGTTTCACTGCTTATGTTTACATTCTGCACACTTTTACCCTTGATTTTAGGCAATTATGGAAGATACAAGTCTTAGATGCACACTTTCACAGGTTTACATTATAATTCTATTGTTGTCGTCTTTACAAGGTTTTGTGTATGTGTGTGTGTGTGTGTGTGTGTGTGTGTGTGTGTGTGTGTGTGTGTGTGTGTGTGTATGTGTGTGTGTATGTGTGTGTGTATGTGTGTGTGTGTACTCCTAATTGTGGTTGGAAGGGGCTCAGTTTCAACTTCTGGCCCCACCTCTCAAACTGACCACTTCTGTGTTCTCTCTCTCCTTGCTTTGTGATCCCTGTTATACCTGTTCTTAACGCTGACTACTCGGAAGGTGAAGAAATATTTCCTAACAACAGCGTGATTTATTCTCAGAATTTTTCACATCGTTACCATGTATTCCCTGGTCGTTCTGTCGTCTAATGTCACAAGTTTAGCTCCATGAACAGTCTCACTACAAACCTCTGCATTTGTTCTAGGTTCTAGACATGCATGATCAGGTAGGGGTTTAGTGCTGGTGCTGCATACTCCAGGAAGGACCTGACATGCGTCATGTATAATGTCGTCAATGGTGGGTAAAAGGACACATGTACAACTAATGCGACATTGTTACTGTCTCCACCACTGCCTCCATCACTCTCCACCACAGCTTCCGTCACTGTCTCCACCACTGTCTCCATCACTGTCACCACCACTCTCTCCACTACTGTCTCCACCACTGTCTCCACCACTATGTCCACCACTGTGTCCACCACTGTCTCCACCACTGCCTCTACCACTGCTTCCGCCACTGTTTCCACCACTTTCTCCACCACTGTCTCCACCACTGCCTCTACCACTGTCTCCATCACTATCTCCACCACTATCTCCACCTCTGTCTGCACCACTGTCTCCACCACTGTCACCACCACTGTCTCCACTACTGTCTCCACCTCTGCCTCTACCACTGCTTCCGCCACTGTCTGCACCACTGCCTCATCAAAGTCATTCTACTTTTCAACCACTTTGAAACTATAAAAATGTATGACCTTACATCCCTATATCTCAGCTGTGTGTTTAGCTTGCATGTGTCCCCTTGATTCTTGTCACTATCTGCCGTATCAACTCACCTTAAGATTATAAATATAGTAATTATGTCTCCCAGTATCCTTCTCTCTGCCAAGGTCGTCATGGTCATTTAGTTTAAATTCTCCTTATAGATCATCTCTCTTAATTCTGGTACTAGTTTGGTTGCCAAGCTTTGGATCTTTTCTGAGCTGCTGCGTGAGTTTTACCAGGTGTGGGCGCCATGCCAGGGCCGCTTGCTAGGTTTGCACTAACCTATCTTGTATGTTAGCTTCTGAAAGATAATTTTATTCTAGCTCTCAAATGCTATTCTGAAGTTTGTTAATTACACGTATGCTGCTGATGTGTGTGTGTGTGTGTGTGTGTGTGTACTCACCTAGTTGTACTCACCTAGTTGAGGTTGCAGGGGTCGAGTCCGAGCTCCTGGCCACGCCTCTTCACTGGTCGCTACTAGGTCACTCTCTCTGAACCGTGAGCTTTGTCATACCTCTGCTTAAAGCTATGTATGGATTCTGCCTCCACTACATCGCTTCCCAAACGATTCCACTTCCTGACTACTCTGTGACTGAAGAAATACTTCCTAACATCCCTGTGATTCATCTGTGTCTTCAGCTTCCAACTGTGTCCCCTTGTTACTGTGTCCAATCTCTGGAACATCCTGTCTTTGTCCACCTTGTCAATTCCTCTCAGTATTTTGTATGTCGTTATCATGCCCCCCCTATCTCTCCTGTCCTCCAGTG